AATGCATGGAATTTGTGCTGATTCCCTGGGTAGAGATGAAATTCATACACAACTGAGGGCAAGCTGTGCACTGATAGTTCAACAGGTTCACTGGGTGTTTCATGGCAGTGAGTCCTAACCCCATGAGAGAGGTCTCCAGACTAAAAATGAACATCTTAAGAATTTCAATGCAAAATATTAAGCTCAGGCACACTGGTCCCTTTGGGGAAAGGGGTGAGCAAGACTGCTCACTTTGCATCAATAAAACAGCTTAATTCAGGCACAGAAGTTTATATAAACAAAACCAAAACCCCTTCAGTAGAAAGTCTGTTTCTCTTCTGTGTACAGAAGAATTACTATGCAAATTCTGGAATGCCGCGGTTACTTTGCTTGCTTAGCAATATTAGACTCTCCAGTCTTCTCTTGGAATTAAATTTCAGTTTTTCTTTTGTCATTTTGTCATTCTGTGACAGTTCAGCTGTTATTTCAGATTTGTTTTTTCCTAAATGTGAGGCAGGTCCAGTGCTATCAGTACACAAGGTATACATTCAGTGACCTACTTCCCAGAAAATACTTTTTTTGGTTTTTTTGTAATAGACTATATATCCTCTAAAACAATCCAAGACCAAATGTCCTAATAGTCTAGACCAGAGAATCATAAAATCCTAAAATAACTTAGCTGGAAGGGAACTCTGGATGTTCTGACCTTATCCTGTCAGTTTTCAGCATCTCTGAAGATACTAACAGAGGATGGAGATGCCACAATACCATTCCTGTGGCTCCTTTACTGGATTGTGAATATGAAGTGAAGCTCACAATAGAAACAATTCTTACTGCATGTGAAACAAACCATACAGGCACATTTACAGTCAAAGAAACAGTCAGAAGAATAGTAACTTTCTAGTTGAAGCAAGATTTCCCAGATTTTTAAGATCTGAGGGACAACTGAGGTCATGTGGTCCAAAGTCCTGAGCAACATAGGCTGGAAATTTGTCTTCAGACATGTGTGTATCTAACAGTTCATGGCTGTTGGACTCTGAGATCACTTGTGGATGCAAATTTTATGTGGTCTATCAGAAAGGACAGTTCTAGCTGAAATCTTGCAAGTATGCTCCACTTGCACAATCTTTTGCTCACTTGACATGCCTTCACTTTTGTCTAACAAGGGCTCTCTATCCTGTTTCAGGTTAAATTTTAGCCCCTGCAATTGATTATAAGTTGTTATTCAAATTCAGTTGTAGGAAAAGGATTATGTGTATGATAAAAGGCTGAGAGACTGACCCCTTTGTACTGCAACTGTAAATCAGGATGCAGAAACAGGCTGTGTTTGCATTAGAGTGAGCTAAAAGCTAGGAATTACCAAATCTCAGCAGGTGCTGTTATCAGGAAGATTTTCAGAAAAGATCTAATCCTTTATAGTTGCTGGGTAGCTGACGAACGGAGCCTGTTAACATCTTATTTTAGCTCCTGCTGTGTTGAAAGATGTAGCTTTCTTCTCGAGCAACATTTTTGTCTCCACATGGGCTGAAATGCATCTGCCATGGATCATGTAGCGATAAGGCACCTTCTTCTGCCTCCACAGTGCTGGCTTGCTGTCCCGGTAGGTGAGAAGCTCGAGCTGTTTCATGACTGTGCTGCCCCCAAATGGCTCAAGACATCAGTCCAACACTTAAGACATGTAAAAATGAAGACATGTAAAAAACAGCCCAAAGATTAATTTTCCTCACTCTAAGGGGCTGATGTTTCTTATTCTTTGATGCACTGACCTATTTGTTACTGAGCATCAAAGCCTGAGCATCAAATAGCGATGTTCAGAGGGGAGGGTATTTATAATCACTTTGCAATATTCATATGGTACACACAGGGTAGGAAGTGTCCGGTATATTTCTAACATTTTCACATTAGTGGTTTACTACTGCAGAGAAAACAGAGCAGAGGTTTTGACACTTGAAAATGATCCTAAAGTACTCAATCACACAGCGTTCAGCTGGTGTCTTTATACCTCATAAGGCACAAAACATAAATTAAATAAAATTTGCCCTTCCTTCTATTCACAGCCCACTGTAGGAGCACTATATTTCCCAGAGGCAGATCATTCCCAGAAATGGAAGTGAAGAAGACTGAGGAAGCTGCAGGCTCTCTACTTCTCCCTCAGTTTGCAATGCTGGCTACAGATTTGCTCAACTTCACATGACATAGGGCTTGCAATGCTACTGCATGCTGCACTGGGTCTGGCTGGGATGGAGTCAACTCCTGCATTGCCTCTACAAAAGCAGGTTGATTTTTATTTTCTTGCAATTTTCATTTGCAAGAAAATAAAAATCAACCCTTGACTCCTCTGTGAGCTGGGCACCTAGCTGTGTTTTGTCCTGGGCTATATATGTAGGCTTTCAATGAGCTGTGGCTCTGGATTTTCAGTGTAGCCCAAACTCAAATGTCAATGGGTCTGAGGTGCTTAGCTCCCTTGGATACCCCTGGAAACACTTACAAAACATTTTTTGATTTCTTGGTTGATAAAGCATGCCACAGAGACAGAAATCATGAACTTCAACTGATGCATATGGGTCTTTCACAAGTAGCAAGGGACTTGTTTCTCGGCTACACGAGGTACCAGCCTAACTTTTCTCTTCACAATTTCCATGTCCTCCACACTGAACACTCCTCAGCTGCCTCTACGGGCTTTCCATCACCTGGTGATGAATGACCCATGCTCGTACCATTGCAGTCCTGTGCTTCTGCTTGAAGAAACCAACTGCTTAGTTGTATCCAGTGCAGCCTTCATACATGTATGTGTTCCAGATTTGAACTGGTCTATCTGATGCATTGCCATTGTCTCCTAAGGGCATGTTTTCCTTTCATAGGCTTCTAGCTCAAATCCAGTCAGTGCTTTCTGTTCTACTCAATGAATAAAACTGGTTGGGAATTTCAAGAAAGTGAACTTGCACTGCAAAAAAAGCTGTTACCTTCCAGGAAATACAGTGTGTTTGCTAAGTTTGATCTAGACCTCCACTAGTGCACAGAGGAGAAAAGTAACAACTCAGTTATTTAAAGTATTTTATCATCTCAGAGAAGGTTTACTTGGGGCAAGGGATTGGAAGGCAGTTACTTATATATGGAATTTGTTTATCCACAGTTAATGACCCATGAAACACTCTGGTTTGTTAATTATCACTGCCAGCACAATGGGAAAACTTACCTCATAAATACACCGTGACAATTACATTTACTTTACTACAAAGCTCTTCTTATTGCTGAACAACTTTGTGACTGGAGACAGCAATACCAGCCCCATTTCTGCAAAACTTTTCAAATACATGCCCAGCATGCTCCTTGGTCTATACATTTTCCCTATACTTTGCTGAACTAGCACAGCAGTGAGATTTACCACTACACGGTGTCTATTGACAAGTCTTGTATGATACTCCTAGACATAGATGAGACTTATGCTGTGTTACTTCCATCCTTATTTCAGATATATGATATCTAGACCATCCTAAAACGAATTTAGGAATAAGATGCAGCTGAAGATTTTTGGGATATCCTAAGGTAGGACTCACACAGTCTAATTATCCTTGTTGGCCTACCTATAGTAGCTTAGTGCCTAACTCAGAAACTTCCCCATCTTCTCACTTAACAAAGAGGTTCGTTATCACAGTGCCTTTGCATGAGATTGGAATATAGTGTAGTGTATTCAAAACTGGATATTTTGGTTTAGGCCCCTGAGCATAGATTTGATGCCCATAAAGGTGGCTTCACTTTCAACTGTACCTAAAACTCTGAGGATCTGATGAAAGTTACATAGTTTCAGGAAAGGTAGCTTGTATTTTTAATATTCTTTGCCTAGAATTTTTTCTCCCAAGTGAGCTTCAAGCTCCTGACTTTTTGTAGCATCGCTAAAAACATCAAAATTTTCATCCCCTGGGAAATTCAGATATGTTGGCAGTTGCTTTTAATATTGAAGCAATATACTGAATTCCATGGCATTTATTTTTTTTCAGTCCATCGTTTCTGCATTTGTTGTGTGTAGAAACACACTGTTTCAACAGCTTGTTTCAAGTCTGTCTCAGCTATATGTCCATTTTAAGCTGTAGCAAATTCCATGAAAACTGTAACTCAGACATCTTAGTCTCCTTTTCCTGATGAAGTTTTCAGATCACCTTTAAGACAGATCACCCATGAGGTTTTCCTAAGGATGCTCAGATAATACTTTGTCCTGCAGGAGGTAGCCCAATCCAGGGAAGAAAAATCACTAAGGCAATTGGATATCATGTCTCTTAGCTCTGTGAGGCACTGCAGAATCCCATGAAAATGCAAATAAACATGGATAGGGCAGCTTGGAATGAGTGGATTGATCCAGTAAACTGGAATATGTGGATTTGGTTTTGTCTTTCAAAAAAAAAAAATCTGATTTTCTTTTTTTATTCCCATGTAGAATATAAAACTAAACAACAGGAAAAAAAAAATGCTATTATTATGTCTACACCGAAAAATATCACTTTCTGTGAAATAAAGTAGTTGGAAACCTCCTGATTATCACTATTCTTCTATATAAGAATAAAGGTGCAATTGCACATGCTCATGGAAATAACTCAAAGAAGAACAGACGGAGGTAAATGCCGCATAGACAAGTGATTTCTCAGAAGCATAACACTTACCTTACTGAAAGAGAGATAAACCTTCGTTTAATATGATTTTTCTTACAGTTCAAGCATGCTCCTTTACCCAATCTTTCTGAAAACTTGTAAGAGTTGCTGAAATTTAATACTAAGAATGAGCTGACCTAATTACTCTTCTATTATAGTGAAAGGGCTTCCTGACTGCAAGATGACATTAACCTGTCTTTATTATTAGACCCTGTCAACTCAGAGCAGAGTACAATGGTAGTTACAAGGAACAAAGAGCTCTCTGATGGTTGTTACCTAGTGTATTTTTTAGAGGAGGAGGAAGACTTTTGGATGATGCTTTTCTTGAACTGCACTGCAATTAGGAACAGCTTTTAAGCTTTATATATGTCTTTGCAGCAACTGATTCAGTGTCACATACGAGATCCATGGCTATTGTGCTCCTCTCTGTTCCTGCATGAGAGATCATCAACATGAAACTAAAATGCTTTGGAGAATGAGGGTATGCCAAGAAACACTAGAGCCAGAAGAAAATGATCAAGAAATACCAGAGGAAAATGCCACTCAAATTTAGCCGAAAATATTGTAAATTCTGAATTGTACTACCCAGTGAAAGAATTCAGTCACATCCATGTTCACTGAATCCTTCTCTCTCTTTGCAAAAAATAAAAATAAAAATAAAAATAAAAAATAAAATCACCTGTATTAAGCAGCTACCTTTCTAGACAGAATCAAAAGTAAACACAGAGAGTAAAATCAGATATGTCAGTAATCATAGAACCATAGAATCATTAAGGCTGGAAAAGCCCTCCAAGATCATCTGGTCCAACCATCCCCCTACCACCAGTGTCACCCACTGAACCATGTCCCCAAGCACCACGTCCAACCTCTCCTTGAACACCCCCAGAGATGGTGACTCCACCACCTCCCTGCCCCCTGGTAAAGAACCAGGGCTTTCTCCTAGTCATAGAACAAACACATAACAAGCAAAAACACATTGTCAGAGAAAATTAAAGCCTAGAACATGAGACAGAAGATGGCTTGCACATGTGTCTGGCAGGGAACTGATAGAGGCACCAGATCCCAGCTCAGCTGCAAGGCAACAGCTGCCTGCTGTGAGAACATCCACCACTGATTTCCTAGGGCTCTGAGTCAGAACATTTATCCTCTAGCCTTAAATATATGTGCATGTTTTCACAGGGGAGTTCCTGTGAACTGGCTGCATACAAGAAAAATCTTTTTTGCTTGGTGGATTTTTTTGTTGTTGTTTTTGTTTGTTTTGTTTTGTTTTTGCCTTGAGACTTGAGTGGGGAAAGAAAAAAAAAGGGGGGGGGGCAAAAAAAAGTTAGAATAGAATAAAAACAAGTTCTTAATGCATCGGATGTAATGCTTTGGCAGTGTTGTATTCGCATTGCTGAGCACAAGCAAAATCTACCAAAAAAAAAAAACACTAGAGAATATGGACAGCAAGAGACCTACCTTGAGTATACAGGTATTCCCTACATGTCCTTTCAAGAAAACACTTCAATTCAAGTTTGCAACAGCGTTTGATTCACTTCACCAAGGAATTAGAAAAAAGCAACGTGCAAAAATGTAACACAGACATTTAGGGTAGAAAAAACTAATGTGACTAGACCTTGTGAAAGTGTTACATGGGAAAAATCAATGACTGGTTGTCACAGGTACTCAGGAGTATCTCCTAAGGAGTTTATCAAAGTTAGACCGAGCCTATATAGTGTTTACAAGTATTTATCTAAGTTCACTGATCACAGTTTCTGATGTGATATGTCACATACACATCACAACATTGCTTCTGTCATCTGCCTTAGAAAACAACATTTTATGAAAGAGAGTAATAATGAACAATAATTAAAAGAAAAAAATTCCCCCAAAGCACATAGCTAATGGTTTGTGGGTACAGGTAAAGATAAACAGAGCTTCAAATGAGGATTAGGTAGCACTTGCAAAATCACATCTTTGTCTAAATGAAAAATTGCATTGGCTGTTAATCCCAAAGTGGCAATCATAGTACATCTACAGCTGAGCTGTATTGGGTCATGTTTATATCTATTTATGCAGACTTTGGAAAGACATCTACAATCTGAAAATGCTTTCCTTCACCCCAGATTACCCACGGAAGCGCTGAAATTGCTGACTTTGCTGAAATTGCTGTACCCACACACTTCGTGAATACATTTATTTGAACGCTGATCTCCTTGCTCACACAGATGAACACAAACTGTACACCAGAGCTTGTACTGAGAGTTTGGCTGAGTTTCTGTGACACGGAAAATAGCTCTGGTTGAAAACGCGAAATACCGACATTTTAATCTTCTAGCTTGATTTTCGTAAGCATTTCAGATTTGGAAAACAAGTGGTTCCCCAAACCATTTACTTGTTCAGCTGAGCTGGTGCAACACCGACGAAGCTGTGCACACATCCTGACACCTGTCAATCACAAGTAGCCCATCTGGGCCCTGTGCTATTTATTCCTATTCAGCAAAGAGATATTGCACAGAGGCAGCTGGCGGGCTGCAGAGAACGTTTCCTCCTCTCTTTACTTTCATGCCTCTGCCTGCAAAATCAGGATCTAGCCAGAAGGATCCAGTTTTTCTCTCATGTGAGACCATGAAATAGCTGAGGCAGTTCTAGCTAGAAGTGTGGAAACTTGTTTAGCACATGGCTGGATGGAGTTGGCATGAGGTGACATCCAAGAGGCACACATGATAGCAGCCAATGTTAACTGGGAAATGAAGATGTTTTTTTTTTTTTTTTTCATGCTTTTTCCCTGGATGATTCCACCATGCTCTCCCCACCACTGCTCAGAACCGCCAAGGAAAAAAACTATATAAAAGACAGATCTTGGAGATTAGTATGAAAATTATATGGCAGCTTGCATGTGGTCTTTAGTCTATGGAATGACAACTAAATACACCAAGTAATTATTGGACTCTGATCCACAGGTCACATATTTAAGCTGTAATCTACATGCCACGTAATCAGGACAAAAAGCTGGCAGCTTGGAGGCTTGCCCAGCCCATCTTTCTGATAGATTGCAGGTAAGAACTTCATTCTTCCAATAAAGTAGCCTCCAAGCTGCCAGCTTTTTGTCCTGATTACTGTGCACAAAGTGTCGTCCACACAGTGAGCTGAACCACTTTGCCTGTGGACTTAGAAACCAGGGTGAGGGAGCATGGACTGTCCAAGGGGGGGTTCACAAAAACATACAGCTATCTCTAGGACTCTGAAGAGAAACCCTGCAGGAGCCAGAATCCTGCTGCTGCCCTGCCTAGCTCACCCACTGTGACAGAGACAGCAATGCATTCAGATATGGGAGGGGAGGCACCTTCCCCTTTTTTCATTGCCTTTTCAGTTCTTCACAGACTTTCACATTGCCTTTGAAGACCTTTGTTACACATTAAAAAAAAATACAATCCTCTGTGAAAGTATGAGGAACCTTTTTTTTCCTTTCTATTTCTTTCTTTCTCTCTCTCTTTCTTCTTTCTTTCTTTCTTTCTTTCTTTCTTTCTTTCTTTCTTTCTTTCTTTCTTTCTTTCTTTCTTTCTTTCTTTCTCTCTTTCTTTCTCTCTCTTTCTCTTTCTCTCTCTCTTTCTTTCTCTCTTTCTTTCTCTCTTTCTCTCTTTCTCTCTCTCTCTCTTTTCCTTCCTTCCTTCCTTCCTTCCTTCCTTCCTTCCTTCCTTCCTTCCTTCCTTCCTTCCTTCCTTCCTTCCTTCCTTCCTTCCTTCCTTTCCTTTCCTTTCCTTTCCTTTCCTTCCTTTCTTTTTCTTTCCGAAAGATTTCTTATTGTCCCTTCTCCAGCATTTAGTTTTGCCAGAACACAGCTGTACTGACAATGAAAAAAAAAAATAAAAATGGTTTTCTTCACTTTCTTCTTCCTTAAATTCAGTTTCAGCTGAAATGTTGACCTCTGTTCCAATCCATTGAAGCCCAGAACTGCCAGAAGCAGTGAGTCTAGGGGTTAAACTACCCGAACCAGAGTTACTACAAGAACTACAACCCCCATGTCAGGGCAGCCTGAGGAGTTACAGTTCTTCACCTGGAATGGACCCAAGTCTGACAAGGGTGGTGTGCTCACCTTGCACATTTTTCACATCAAATGACCCAGGGTGACATAGCCTTGGACCTTGAATAATAGCCGCTAAATAATGTCCTTTGGATTAACACAAAATCTCTAACTACATAGTGTAGACAGGAGGAATAAAAGTTGCCCAGCTTTGTACCACTGAGAAATAAAGGATGCAATTTCTCTAGCTTAATATTCAGTGAATGCTATTCCTGCAACTTGTCTTCAGCACCTGTGTTTGGACAAGAATTTACCACCGCAAGTACCTGCTCCTTTCCACTGACCATAGGGGGATACCAGGGTGAATGGTTCAGATAAAGATGCATCAGAACAAAAGCAGATATATTCATACACTGAGCACTCACATGCAGGATGGTTCAAAGAGACAGGAACTGGGCTATTAAAGAATTTTTTTTTTTTTTCATATTGACCAAAATGAGACATCAGGTAATGTTACTTTAATGCTGCCACTTTCACATTACTTACTCTTCCCTTCCCCATGACTTGACCTTATGGGGAAAAGCAGATCTGACATGGGGGAGAGTTGTTCAGAGACAGGACAGGCTTTCAGCATGGATGAGGCAAGCTGCACTTCACACAAGAATCTCCTCCCTTCCTATTGACACTTGATTTCAGCACAGGGAGGTGAAATCTCCATTATTTGTAGCCTGCTTTTTCCTCTCCCAAGACAACCTCCTTTTCTACACCCTAAGAAGGACTCTGGACCCTTCCCAAGCTATTTCCAGGCTGTGTAAAGACACATGTGAATTATTCACGGCATGTGAATAATGTCTCTGCACCAGAGCTGATATACAAAATATTCAGAAGACAGTGAATTCCTACAGGCTAGCATTGGTCTCTCCAGGGCAATCACAAGTATGGGATGAAATTCACTGCTCTGAACGACAACCTGCTGCTATCCCACTCCTGCCACTCCTGTCCCTGCAAGAATATCTGGGTTTCAGCATACACTTCAAAGTCAATGTTCCTTCTGCTTTCTTTGGCACAGCAACATTCATTTTCAGAGGAAAGCAAGGCAAGAGAATATCTGCAGAAACACACGGGCTGATGGCAAGCTTGGCACAGCGATATGCTGACAGTGAGCCCCAGAGCACTTGGGAGAGCAGGTCCCGTGGCCAGCAGCACAGCCAAGACCCATTGAGCCATGCTCAGCAGCCACCGAATATCTCACCATGAGTAAGAGGGTGCTGTGGTTATTCGTCTCACAATTTGTTTAAACTGCAAAAGCACAAACAGGCTTGATTTTTGTCATTGCTTTTGGCTTCAGCAGATGTCTTGTGGGCAGTAACTGTCTCCTTAATATTCCTGCGAAGCAGCTTTCTGCTATACTGTACTGGGGAAAAGATAATTGCATCAGAGACAAGCCTCTTCCTTCACAGAATAATTTCCCCACCCTGCATCATGTTTATATTTAATAACAGTTCATATTTGGGGTATTTCAGAACTGATAACTCATTAAAATAGCAACCTAGCCATCAGCCATGAGATCCCATCTGGGAAATATAGAAAGTATAAATTTTAAGCCAGCCAATAAATCAAGTGAAGTTTTAAAACGTTAAAATTGTAAAAAAGGATAAAAGAAAAAAAAAAAAAGAAAAAAAAAGGAAAAAAAAAAAGATGAGAGTGAGACATTAGCCAAAATTAGCCCTTTCTCAGGTTCAAAATGAGGCAGTGCAAACTGTATGCCCTACCACTCCTTTTTATCAGGAAAGGGGACAAATCATCATGTGTGGGAGAAGCAGCTCTGCTGGAGAGCCTGGAGAAGCTTAGTCTCACTGCACCCCACCTATATATCATCTCTAATTTGGGGGAATGTGGAATTTTCTGGGCAGATTCAGCTTCCATATTCTCTCCCGATTACCATCTGTTACATGACAGAAAGGATGGTGGGTGCTGGCTGCTAGTTTTTAAACATTAACCGGACAATCAGCTCACAGCTCCCATTTGGCACCAGGGAGCAGATTCCAGCACCGTCAGGCACACTAACCCACTTGAAATCTGGCATGTGTGGCTTACCATAACTCAGCAAGAAGCACCACGTATTCAGACGTTTCATCCATCCTTTCCACCAAAAATCCTTTGTATGTAGCAAGGGATGCCTGTGGTTTTAAAAAAGGCCATGGAAGGACAACCACTCAATGCTCTGGGGCCAAGTGTCACTTTTAATGAGGGTTTAGGCTACGTGGGTGCCAGGGACCTTATCATTAGTCTTTCCCACAGTTTCAAACATCTAACAAGCCTGCAATGTGAGCAAGTCTGCCTGAAAATGCTGGTGATGTCGGAGGCTCCATCTGTTGCTCATTCACAGCACATATTGTCAGGAGACCGGGAATGCCACTCTCCCACCTTTTCATACTCTCACGCTTTTTTGCATTGATAAGATTTCAGAAGCACATTTGTGGCTCTGCTCAGAGGGGAATATGACAGCACACTTGTCATGCTTTCCCTCTGCCAACACGCCTTCTTCGCAGACAGCAGACTGGGCTGCTGCTGACCTTATTGTCAGGAAAGACAAAATCCCATGGGAATATTTTCTCTCTGTTGTTTTCAGAGGTAGGTGTTTCTTTCCTGTATTTCTTCCTCATTAGTACTGAAGTACTGAATGCCTTTAATCAGTTTTGTGCTTTGACTTTCCTGACTATGCCATCATTTACCCTTCATTTCTATTTTAGCTTCACGTCATTTCCATCTCTCCCTGCTGTGTTTGAACATGATCCCATTAAGCAGGGCATAGGAAGCACCAAGTACCACTAGAAGCACCAAGTACTTTGGAAGCAAGGTCCAGAGTCACATGAGAAAAAAGTTCAAATTGCTCAAGGATTTCCAACATCTCCACTTTGGAGTTCCAAGCCTGAGGTGGTTGTGGATGGCTGTCAACAATACAAAACCCCTACTGTTGGTTTAGAGGCTTGATCATCCATTAGGTTATAGCAAGGGATGTCACTTGCTGAAGAGCAAAGTTTTACTTGGCGGTGGTGTTGGTGCGGACACACTCCAAGGTGGTTGTGTGACTTAGACTTAGTTTGGGATTTGTGGACAAACTGTCATCAACTCATGGCCTAGAGCACCAGAACTCCCAAGTCTAAGTGGAGTAAATGGGACCACAGTCCATTTTCCCCTGCTCTTTAGGACATGGTTTTTTTAATTTCACCCCAACTTACATATGCATGAGTAGATGTCATGGTATAAACACGAGGAATACTTTTAGTTCCCCTCAGATATGGCAAGAGTAGGAGGGAGACCAAAAGACATTTAAGCCATTGCACCATGGAGCACTCATATTGCTCTATATCTCCAGCTCTGAGTCACACCTTTCCTCCAGGCTGATACCTTTGGTATTTTGGGATATGAAGCAAGAGAAAAGTCATGGCTCTGAGACAGAGGAGGTGCAGAAACACTGCAAGAGAGTGGCAGAGGAAGGAGTTAACAGAAGTATTACAACCCCATTAACTTTCTCAGGAAATATAGCTGGTACTACTCACTATCATAGAAAGCAGTTATCAGCTGTTGAAAAGCTGCTATGAATTAAATGACTGGTGGAAGGAAATCTAAATCAGTGAGGGAGCATCACTGCTGAGTATTTGTTTAACGGAATTAAGGTAATGAAAATTCAAAACACGAAATTTCAATTCTGAATACCAGAAGCTCAAGGAAACACAGGAAAATGATAGTTAATCAAAAACAGCATCTGTAGGTAAAAAATGCAGACTTGTTCTTGAAATGACTGCAAATTAATTGTTGAAAAGAAAGAAAGAAAAAAAAAAGCTCGCTTGTCTAATTATCTGCTGTGCATTAAATATTATGAAAGGGGCCTAGGGCAGTATCAACTTATCACAAAATAAAAATGATTTCTTACAGACAAACTTCTGAAGTTTATTTAGGAGGGCAATGTGACTTTTCAAGAGTTGTATATTTGCTTTCGCATACACCAAAGTAAAATCTAGTAACAAAATCTTCGCAAGTGCATCCTTTCTTAAAAGAGAAATCCATGGTGATGACATTCTTAATAAATTCAGTTCATGTTACTGTAATGATGTTTGTCTAGAAGTACCTTGGGAATTACAGTTAGCTTCAACATTAATTAATTCATTGCAATTTTCATGTGTTATCGACACATTTTACATCCTCCGCTGGATCAAAATTACCTCAGCATAATGGAAATTTTTTCTATGCATGAATTTTCAAAATGCCTTTCAAATAAGCATAGCATACACAAAGAAAATCAATCTCTTAGGAACATCAGCATGCAAGATGAAATTCCTAGTTCATGATCTGCACCTATGTTTCCTGACTAGTAATGTAAAATCTTAAAATAAATTGAATGCCACAATAGACAGATCCTTGTCTCATGGTTATAGCAAATCATTAAGAACTGGGACTTAAAGTTCAAATTCTAGAAAAAGGCTGTCTGGGAGAGGAAATGAACATTGTGATCAGTTTTAAATAACTCATAGGGAAACTTCTGATCGACTTTTCTAGTACCATGAACCACTTTTGAAGCTTGGTGTTTTGTGTAGCTAATATCAACACAAATACCTTGGGTTTAGCTGTCAAAGAGGGAAAGGCATTACTTCAGCCACTCAGGAGATAAAAGTTAGAAGTCAGAAGCAGAAATTAAGCAATGGAAAATAAAATATCAGGGATAAAGCAGCTGACTGTGAAGTCTCTAAGAATAAGCAGCCAATACTGTCACAAACAAAATATGAACAAAGACAAAATCTCACAGTCAACTGCTCCGCGCTGCCTGGAAGCAGGAGTGGTTTATGTCTTTTTTATTTTGGCCTATTTCAGACCTGATTCTGCAGCAATTTATTCATTCATACTTAAAACATTTTTATTTCACTGCTTGTAGTTCCTGTCACTCAGGACAGAAATGGCAGGAAGAAGGACAAAAAGGAGTTTCATGCAAGAGGTGTTGACATCCACACTGCAGCATGCATGGAGGAAGGGCAATTTGACAGACACAACCTCCACTAAGGGAGTGGAAATATCCCATAACAAAACGTGATGGAGTCAGCTGTTATTATAGAGTTGCAATTGTTTGAAACAAACTCCTTCACACTTATACACAAAAAGGGGGGGAAAAGAGAAGGTGAAGCTGAGAAAATACCTGGTTATACATACCAAAAAAAGCTGTTTAGTCAGTACAGTCAGTCATATTTAATAACCAGAGGCATAGCATAACTTCATTCTGGATAACAAACAGGCAAGACAGAAAGACTTGAAGGAATATCTTGCTGTCCCTTTGTTGCCATGACAGCCTTATGAAAAATATTAGGCAGAAGAAAACACAACCATCAAACTCCAGATGTGAAATTCCAATGAAGTCAGGATATTGTCTGATAAACTAGCTCAGAAATTCAGTAAGATTCACTGTCTTTAAAAATTATACATATATGCTGGTGTGAAAGAAATGCAGCAGAGAGAACTACCACATGCTCCTGCTCAGTCCTTCTAGAAAACAGAGACAGAGGGATTAACAGCAAGGCTTTGTGTTGTACTCTTCATTTTCATCATCAAAGAAACAATCAGAGTTCATCTTGATTGTCTTTCTTTCACCCCGACTAGATTTTGGTCTGGTCTCTCATGCTTTAACATTGCCCTTAGTGCTGAGCAGTCATGACCATCACTCGGAAGGGCCAGGTATTAGTCACTAATTTAGCAGTGCAAGTATTCTGAGACGACCAACAACCCAATGAAATGCAGACCAGTAAATCAAACACTTACCTGTTTACAGGCTTAACTATGCCAAGAAGTCATTACAGACAAGTAGCTACTTAGGGCCAGGACCCAAGAGATGACTTCTGTCCTTTAAATACTAACACAGGATCATAGAATCATCTAGATCAGAAAAGACCTTGGAGATCATTGAGTCCAACCATCAGCCCCACCGACGGAGTCGTATCACTAAATTTAGTGCCCTTATTGCCACATCTACTTGTATCCTAAATACCTCCAGGACTGGGGTCTCCACCACTTTCCCAGGCAGCCTGTTTCAATGGCTAAGCACCCTCCCTGAGAAAAAATTATTCTTAAGATAACTTCCCCTGGCACATCTAGAGTCTACTTCTTCATGTCCTATCACTTGTCACCAGAGAAAATAGACCAACGCCCTCCAGATAGCTGTAGAGAGCAATAAGGTCTCCCTTCAGCCTCCTCTTTTCCAGACTAAACAACCCCAATTCCTTTAGTCACTCCATGGGCTCCGCTCCTCTCCACGGGCTGCAGCTCCGGCCCGGGGCCTGCTCCTGCGGGGGCTCTCCATGGGCCGCAGCCTCCTCCAGGCCACAGCCACCTGCTCCACCGGGGGCTCCTCCACCCATGGGGGGGCTGCAGCGTGGAGATCTGCTCCGTGTGGGACCCATGGGCTGCAGGGGGACAGCCTGCTCCACCAGGGGCCTCTCCACAGGCCGCAGGGGATTGCTGCTTCTGCGTGAACTCCTGCACTGACCTGGAATACATTGGTGGGTTCCAGTCCTAGGATGTGGGTTTGAGAAGGATCATCAAGTTAGGTGACACAGCAACCAAAAGAATACTTTGAGGAATGTGACACATTCATTAGTGTAATTTTATAGAATGATTTTGCAACTAAAGTTTTGGCAGCTAGCTTTTGCAACTTTGGCCAAAGTCAAGTAATTGAGACAAGAGTTATTACTTTTGCAACTGTACGTGCTTCAGAATGCTGCGAATACCTGATACTTTTTCATTTCCCATAATTATGCTAATTAGAAGAGACATGAACTGTAGAGGACATGGAGGACTAGATAAATTCTCTTTTCAGTTTGTTGTCTTCTGCTGGCCATCCAAGAGTGTAAATCTTAGTGGATAAATTAGAAGCAAGACTGATAAAAGTGAAAGAATAATGAAACCCAAATGAAATTGTCCCTGGGAAAAAAAAAATAATAATAATCATGAGGGAACATGATGTTGTAGATGTTGTCCCCCTGTAGTTCAGTAATGCCCAAGACAGGCCCTGAATAATACTTGAATTCATTTTACTGCACAGATGAAATATGACCCTGTCCAGGGTAAAAAACAGAACAGGAGGTCACAATGATTCTTAAAGAAGAAGCTAAAAACAAAAGCACCTATGGGGATCTGGACTGCATAAATAACAAATTCAGAGACATAAACTATCCAGACCAATGAAACCAAACATATGCTACTTGTACCCCCCACACACACACATAACTGTCTACTAAGGCATATTAAGGGTATGACACGATATATTTCAAATTCACTAAACATTCCCAAGCAAAAAAAAAAAAAAAAAAAAAAAAAGTGATTATATTTCCCAGTTAGGATCAGAAAATGAATTTGATCTTCCAGCCTTCCTCCCACACACACTCGCTACCACATAATTTTTCTCCCATGCATAACTTATGCTGATTTTGCAGAAGGCCTATTTTCTGAAGCCAGCTCTGCAGTGAAAACACACAGCCTCGGTGCTGAACCAGCACTGTGCCAATGGTCTCTGTCAAAGGCAGGCAGGCAGCAAGTCAGCAGCATGAAAACTTCTTAGCTTCAGATGGCCAAGCAAAGTCAGAGGTAGC